CCTGCTGGGCTCCGGCGATCCTTCCGCCTCAGCCTTCCAAGTAGCTGGAACTACAGGCGCGCGCTACCACGCCCGGCTAATTTTTTGGTTTACTGTAGAGATGAGGTCTCGCAAAGTTGCCCAGGCGGGTCTCGAACCCTCGGGCTCAGACAATCCACTCGCCTCAGCCTCCCAAAGTGCGGGATTATAGGCTGAGGCACCGAGCCCGGCTTATTATTTTTTATTTTTCATTTTTGGGTCGGAGTCTCACTCTGTTGTCCAGGCTGGAGTGCAGTGGCACACTTATGGCCACCCCAGCGTCGACCTGCTGGGCTCCAGTGATCCTTCCGCCTAGCCTTCCAAGTAGCAGGAACTACGGGCGCGCGCTACCATGCCCTGTTAATTTTTATTTTTTTATCTTTATTTTTTTGAGTTGGAGTCTCACTCTGCCGCCCAGACTGGAGTGCAGCAGCATGTTCACGGCCACCCCAGCGTCAACCTGCTGGGCTCCGGCGATCCTTCCACCTCAGCCTTCCGAGTAGCCGGAATTACAGGCATGCGCTACCACGCCTGGCTGATTTTTTTTTTTTTTTTATTTATTGTAGAGATGAGGTCTCGCCTGCCCAGGCGGATCTCGAACCCGCGGGCTCAGCAATCCACTCACCTCACCCTCCCAAAGGCGCGGGATTACAGGCTGAGCCACCGAGCCCAACTATTTTTGACTTATTGTAGAGATGAGATCTCGCCAAGTTGCCTGGGCTGGTCTCGAACCTGCAGACTCAGGTCATCCACTTGCCTCGGCCTTCCAAAGTGCTGGGATTACAGTCGTCAGCCACCACGTGGCTGAGCAAGCCTTCACCGAGCCCCCCACCCCGACCCCCGTGCCAGAGGCTGCTCTATTAGTTTCCCCGCAGAATTCCTTCTCTGCTCATGCCAACCCTCAAGGGCACAACTATTTTCTTGTTCCTACATGCCCTTTATCCCCACCTGGGGAAACACGCCCTTGGGGGAAGGGCCTCTTTCTTCGTCGCTGTATCCCAGGAAACTGGGCCTGCAGGAATTTGCAGTGCATATTTGTCAAACATTCCCTGCAGGCGAGGACGCCCATCACCCAGATGGGGAAACTGAGGTTCACAGCGAGGTACCCAGGCCCTAACCCCTCGGCTCAGCCGCCTGCTTCCAGGACTTTCTATCTTCCTTCTTTTAAAAGACAGAACAGGACCTCGCTCTGTCGCCCAGGCTGGAGTGCAAGGGTGCGACCACAGCTCACTGCAGCCTCAACCTCCTGGGCTCAGCGGATCCGCCCGCCTCAGCCTCCCGAGGAGCTGAGAGCCACGCGGGACAGGCCCCCGGCCACTTCCAGCACGTGCCGCGAACCCTCCGCTGGGGGATGGCAGGAGGGTCTCCTGGGACGTGACCCCTGCCGTGCACTGCCCGGGTCCAGCTACAGGCCTGGGGGTCCTGGCGCGCTCCCTGGAAACTTGACCTTCCCGGAATCCATCGGGACCCGCCCCTCTGGCCCTCCCGCGGGAGGACAAGGGCTCAAGCATCGCCCCCTACCTCAATTCTCATCGCGCCGCCCCGCCCAGCCCACGCCCTAAAACGACCACCCTCCGGCCCATTTCCGTTTTCCCCCCGGGAGCCGCGGGTCCCGAGCCCCCTCCGCGCGGGGCCATACCATTCCGACCTGGGGGGATCCGGGCGGGGACGCGTAGAGGGCTTCTCCCAAAGACGCCCTCCATCGAGACGCTCCCTAGCCTCTCAGGGAAATAGATGGGTGTCTTGCCTGAGAGTCTCAGGGTGGCGGGCCGCGGGCCCCTCGTCTCCCGCTCGTCCCCTCTCCGCCCCGCGCTCCCCCCCACCCGGCGTTGGTTCGTCCCACGGAGCGCGGCGGCCGCGTCTTTCTGCGCATGCTCCGGCCCCGCCGCGTAGCTCTGCAGCGTCCCCCGCCGAGCTCGGCCGGCAGGTGTCCGCTGTCCCCGCGATGCTGCGATCCCGCGTCATGGCGCTCCCCATCCGAGTCGTTTATTGGTGAGCTCTGGGGACAGAAGCCCCCTCCCCGGACCCCGTCGTCTTTCCCCTGGGAGCCGGGTCCTGGGAGGGCCATTTGGGGCACATCTGCGAGAAAGGGGG